CCTGGGGCTGGGGACCCCCAAGCCCACCTGGCCTGGGGACAAGGAGTGCCAGGCCCCCACGGGGACACTTGGGGGGGCTTGGGGCTGGTGCTGTCGGGTGGGGGGGAGAAAGTGCTTGAGTGTGGGGGTGCCCGGCGGTGCTGGCACCCCAGGACCCCGCGGGCAGAGCCGGCACCCGGGTTGCAGGGCGGGCGTCTGGTGGTGGAGGAGCCGTCCTCGTCCCTGCGCGTGCTGTGCCGAGCTGGCCCCAATCCTGCCACCCCATGCCGGGCTGTGCCAAACCATGCCAGTGGTGCCGGGCTGCGCCATATCGGCGGCGCCAGGCTACGCTAAGCCGTGGTGTGCTGGTGGAGCCGGGCTGTACCGAGCTGTGCCATGCCGGCCATGCCGCGCGGTGCTGGCGGTGCTGGGCTCAGAGGGCCACGCAGGTGCAGTAGTGCCGCAGCTTGCAGGGCAGAATGCCGCGGTTGATCTGGTGAAACTCCACGAGCTGAATGAGGTCGGCGAAGCGGGTCTGCCCATCGTCCATGGTGAAGTAGAGCCGTCCCTCCTCCTCGCTCTGCCGGGGGGGGACGGGGACACGGGTCAGCACCCCGAAGCCCCGGCACCCCCTGGCAGCCCCCGGCCCCTCCTGGCCCCCCGCTGCCGGCACTCACCGGCAGGATGAGATAGTGTTTGACTCTCTGCAGGTGGCACAGGGACAGGACGAAGCCCTTGGGGTTGCGCTGGCTCTCCCGCACCAGGAAGACGCTGCGAGTCCCGGAGGGGGGCGGTGTCACTGCTGGCCCCCTCTGCCCCCGCTGTGTCACCCCTGGGGTCCCAGGTACCCCCCACAAAAGCCCTGGGGTCCTGTACCCCCTAGGACCCCTGTATCCCTCTGGGAGCCCCAGGGCCCTGTCCCTCCCTCCTCAAACCCCTGGGGGCTGCAGATCCCCTGCAAACCCTTGGGGGTCCCAACCCCCCCCAGGATCCCATGACCCCCCCAGCAAGTTTCCCCCCATCCCCTCAAGTGTCCTGCATCACCCCATGAGCCTCAGGGTCCTATAGCCCCTGGGGTCACGTACCCCCCAGGGGTCCCATGTCCCGTCCCCTCCCATGAGTCCCAGGGAATCCGAACCCCCCCGGGGTCCCATACCCGTCCACCAAGCCCTGACGGCCGATGAGCTGCTGGGTGTCCTCCCGGGAGATGCGCCCATGGAACCAGGGCTGGGTGCGGTGGATGGCTGCGGGGAGATGGGTGTCAGGCTTGGGGGGAACCCCCACCTGGGGCAAGGACCCCCCTCCCTCAGCACAACCCGGCTCTGCTGGATGGGACCCTGCGGCTGGGCGCTGCTCACCGGTGCTGAGTGGGGAGCTCTGGCAGGCTGCTGGCAGGCTATACCGGTGCGTTGTCTTCTTCTGGCCATGCAAAGCAAGGAGCGGGTGTTAGGGTGGGCTCGGGGGGGGACACACACCCCCCTCTGCACCCCTGCACCCCAACTCACCCTCCAGGCCTGTGCCTCCTCCAGGGCCACCGTCAGCACCTCACTGGGGTTCTCAATCACCCGGCCCGTGCACCCCGAGAAGTCCATGGCCACCAGTGCGTTGTCCGAGACGCTTCGCTACGGGGGAGCAGGGGGTGACCGGGGGGCTCCCCATGGGATGGGGGCTGCAAGGGGGGGTGGCACTCACCAGGGGTGTGGGGCCGATCCAGGGGGGCTGGTTCAGCCGTGCCTGCGCTTGCTGGTAGTTGCGGTAGAGCTGCATGCCATACTGGGGGGAACAGCCCCGTGAGATGGGGAGGGTCCCACGGGGCCTCCATCCCGCAGTGGGGTGAGGGAGCACCCACTTGGTGTGGGGACGGGGACCTCTGCATCCACCCAGTGTGGGGATGGGGACATCTACATCTACCCCGCATGGGGATGGGGACGCCCATCCTGCATCTTCTCTAGCACAGGGATGGGGACATCCCCCCAGCATCCCCCCAGCATCCTCCCAGCATCCCTCCAGCATCGCCCTGGCACAGGGCTGGTAACACCCCGGCAGGGCCAGGACTCACCTTGAAGAGGCGGAAAGCCGCCATCCAGCAGCTCCTGCTCTGCTCGTCCTCGCTGCAGAGCAGCTTCAGGCCCTTCACGCCACTCCGCACCTTGTAAGGCTGTGGGGAGAGACCGGAGCCATCATGGGGCAGCCCCGGATGGTTTTTGGGGGGGGCAGAGATCCCTTGGCAGGGGAAGGCACAGGGAAGGACCGGGATCCCCGGCCCCCAGCCAAGCAGGGACATCCCCACCTTGATGCAGAAGCCGAACTCGGTGGGCGTCCCGTAGTGCTTCTTGCCCTGCGTCACGTAGTAGATGTTGGACTCGGTGAGGTCAGCGAAGTACTGGAGGTGCCGGGGGTCCTGGGGTGGGGGGGGGAGTCAGGGCCGGCCCCACCGCACCCCCCGGGCCGTGCTCCCGCCTGCGCCCTCACCTTGGAGGTGCCCTTGGTGGAGTAGTAGAGCCCCGAACGGCGCAGGGAGAAGTAGAAACGCTTCCAGACCTTGCGCCCAGCTTCCCGCAGCTGCAGGAAGCCCTGGACCTCCGGGCAGCTCCCGGAGTTGAGAAAGTTCTGGGGGGGAGATGGGGGCTGAGGGGCACGGCGGGGTCCCCACGGCACAGAAAGGGTCCCCA